ATTACCTCTTTCTACAAGGACTAAACTCTGCCTCCTTAAGGCCGAAAATGCCACACAATCAACTTCCGGTTTGTGGCTCAGAAATGACAGGAAACAAGATGTTACACTGTCGCTATTGCTTTCCGTAGCTAGTTCCTCGGTAATTTACCGATGGATAACGTCGTTAGTATTCCGTAGTTATTCTGACAGCATTAGTTACCCATGAGCCAATATCTTAAGACCCTTTTTACATCAGCAATTCATCAGTATCATCCTATTCCAACGAAATATTGTTGTCGGTACTTCTCAATTTTCTAGTAGTGAGTAGAAGGTATACGATGTACTCAGTGCTTTAGAATAACATCTAAAAGTCGATCCCTCTCACCGTATCTTTGCAAAAGCATGGAACCTTGGTGGACGACCGAAAACCCATTTTTTTTAACAATTGCACGATTAATAAATTAATCGTTTATTGTCACATTCAACTAAGTTTGATACATATTAATATAGCAATCGAAACTTAATAAAATAATCACTAGTTTTTCTTTTGTTTCTCATAAAAAGTGATTAATACATAAAAAAATTTGTTTTTTATTGGTAAACCAATTAATAACCATTTGTATCATATAAACATATAATACCAATAGTAAGGGTTAGTAGTTTATATTTAAGAATTATAAATTCTAACGCTTAAAGTGTACAATTGATCAGCAAAAGATATATAGAATGGCAAAATAATGGCAAAAAGTATTTAATAAACTACAAAGGTTTTTCATAATTTAAAAGAAACACTGAAAGCTTGCAATGTGATCGAGTTCGTACCCAGATGACACGTGCTCAGGGCAAAACAACGCCCTCTCATGGAATATCCGTGTGATCACAGTCACCGAATCCGTCCCCTGCTTGAGGGACAAAAACTTATGTGCCAACCATTCCCTCTCCACCAAGGGAACGTACTCGTCTCTGAACATGGTGGTGAACCTCTTCCAGGTTACCTCTGAAATCTCTGCAAGAGTGAAGTTCACCGTCACAAACTTCCACTAGTCCTTCGCTCCCAAGCGAAGCTGGTTCAGTGCACATCGAACCCTCAAATGCTCCGGACACGAATAGGTGTAGAAGCATCCATCAATATCAAAAATCCATCTCATCGCAGCAATCGGATCCTGCGTCGCAACAAACTCTGGTGGCTTCGTGTTGCTGAACTCCCGGAACAACATAGAGTCACCCCCCTGAGGTCTAGCAGCAGCCACCGCTGCAGCAGCCGCAGCCTCAGTAACAACTGTGTATCTCTCGTCAAACGTCTCAATCAAAGTGGTCTTGATAGACCCAAACATCTTCGGTATCTCTGCGCGGATAGCCGCAGTCACCTCCTTGTGGATCATCTGATGAAGCTCCTCGTCACTCACGTCGCTGGTCTCTAGTCGGTGGCATGTCGCAACCATGATGTATCTGAAATACAACATAAAAATATTAGAGACTTGCTCGATTGTACTCACACTCGACAACTTAACCCTACTTGTTCCTTAGTACCCTAAGGATTCTTACTTGGACTGCGCACTGATCCGGTGCTTCCAGTAGTACGGGCCCTATACTACCTTCCACACCGCATCAGCATTCATTCCAAGTCCTCCTCCTAGGATCCCAGATCACAAGTACTCTACTTCTCGCTAAGCACCGGCTACCCTTCGGTAGGCCCCTCATAAGCTCCTCACTGCTACCTATTAACTCTCAAACATCTCATAGCAGCAGTAATCTTCTAGGTTAAGGCATCACAGATAAGGCAACTCTAGTCCTAATATGAATATCTAGCCTACTCTAGCATATCATATCATATCTCATAACACATAACGTAAGGGAATTTTAGGAAATCACCGTTCGGGCGCTGACAGATCGTACACACTGCTTCTTTCCGCTTTCTCAAATTCTTTTACTTTTTAGAAAAATTGTTTCTTGTATGAAAGCTTTTTCAAATCCTCAGTTTGAGTTCAGATACGCCCGAAGGTGCATCCGAATCCCTCAAACCAAGGTTCTGATACCAACTTGTAACAACATAAATTTTCAAAACAATTTTTCATTTTTCAAATAACATAAAACTCATTCAATATTCTCAAATTTCATGTTAAACAAATGTCATCATGATAAAAACATATCCCAAGATCATAAAATAAATCTCCTGCCAGTGTGTACGGATCATGTTGGCGCCTTCCCGCGATCATCGCTAGTACCTGAAACACATAACACATAATACTGTAAGCATAAATGCTTAGTGAGTTCCCCAAAATACCACATACAACACATATGCCACTCAAGGCCATAACTCTATGGGATCTTCCGATCCATGTGTCTTAGGGGACTTCCGTCCTAATTCTGGTAGAACTTTCGGCCCTACTCGTATGACCTTCCGGTCCTCATCATCTTGGCCTTCCGATCCATACACTGTTGACCTTCCGGTCCATATCATGGTACTCATAACATATCATAACACATACATATCACATATCACATACTTCGCATAGTATATAATACATTCCGGTCACACATAGCTACCACTCTAGGTAAAATATAGTGAGAAGACTCACCTCGTATAATGTCTAGTAATTCACATGCTCGGTATCCCTTCCCTATGTCCAATAATCACGTAAAGGTCAAATCTTGACACTCATGCAATGCACCCAAGGCTTCTTTTGGTGAAATGACTTCTAAAATGGCATCCTAGGTTCATTTCCTTCATGGAACCACATAAAGCAGGATAGATAATGCTCTTTGGACCTCTAAAGGTCCATATCCAGAGTCTAACACTCAAAGGGACAACATATGCATCAGTTCAAGCCAATAAAAGGGTAGAGAAAACCCTAAATTCAAGGATCTTGTACAAAACAGAAGAAGAGATCGATTTACTACCTCAACAATGAAGACCCAAGCTTGAAAACCAAAGAATCACAATCCCCTTGACCTTCACTTGCTGGAAACACCTTCTTCTTTGCAAAGCCACAACAAAAAGGATCAAAATAGCTTTCTCTCTCACACAACTCGCTCAAGCTCTCTAGGGTTTCTCTCTCTGGACTGGTAGCCGCAAATGAGGGCTATAAGGTCCCTTAAATAGGGCACATGCCTGGAGATTTAGGGTTTCTGACCTCAGCGTGGACTCATCGAGTCCACCCATCGACTCGTCGAGTCCGTTCATTAATCCAGTCAGCAAATCGCGATCCTACTCGACAAGTCTAAACGTCAATTCGTCGAGTCCCTCCTCATAACTCAAAATAAACAAATAAAATATGATACCCGGAAATCCGGATGTTACATATGAAGTTTTTAAAACTTTATTAGAAATTATTTATTAATTATTATTAACCAACTGGAGTGTTTTCTTTTCGGGTGGGACACAAGATAAATGAAACCCTGCATGGATTGCATGGGACATAGCTTTAACAATCAAGCATGCATGTTCTCGATAAAAAAATGACGTTTTGGAGATTCAGCTCGTGTCGCATACGTGGTTTGATGCTATGAGGAAAAACAAGTTCAAAAAATTGGCTTGGTTAAACTGGTGCTGGAACCCACAAGAAGAATCATGAGCTAGATAACTGCGTGTTTGTAATTCACTAATTCTAGTCTTGTTTCTGTTGTTGTTGTTGTCTTTTTAGTTGCTCTTTTCATGTACTAGATCTTTCCAAGCTTCTTGGCTAGTTTTCTTTTTTCATATTTAATGACCGTTCAAAAAAAAAAAAAAAAAAAAACTGATCAATTAATAAAATCTTGTAATCGTGATATCCATGGATCCACCAACCCCTACAAAATACCACCTACGTACGGCTCCCAGTAATTGTTTTTAAATTATCAGCTTAGGGACCAAGTCATTTCATTCAGCTATATATATATAACCCCAACACCCCACCCATCAAATGTGTCTCACACTCTCACCTCACCACAATTATCTTTCCTTTTCCCATGTCAATCTTGATTAGAAGAAACCCGAGAAGGAACCCTTGATTAGAAGCAACCCGAAGAAACCCGAAATTAGAAGCAACCCGAAGGAACCCAAAGGTACGGATCTATCTATATGTCTTGAAATTGTATATATATGTGCATATATGTACATGCATGGGCTGGGTTTGGATCTGATTGCTGTTTTAATTTCATTGTAGATCTGATTGCTAGCTGTTTAAATTTTATTATAGATCTGATTGCTGTTTTAGTTTTATTGTGCTATGAACAACTTTTAAATGGTGAGTGAAGGCTTGGAATTCATTTTTTATTTCGAATTACTCTCTAGCTCATATTCTTAATATCAAGTGCGTCGTAGTCTGTACTAGACTTATCTACCGTATGTATATTGTTAGAAGAAAATCAACCAATGGTTTCTGTGTATGTCCTGAATTCTCTCAAATATCTATGTGATTATCTTTGGAATTTTGGTGAAGTTACTTACAAGTGGTTTGTTAAGAGACGAATTCAGTAATCTTGTGTCTTGCTTGTTGCCTTGTTAACATCAAATTACTTGATATCTGATTTTATTTTTTTTTGGAATATATTAAGGAAAGCATATGCTTGTACCAAATTGTAGAGTTTTTGTTTATCAATTTAAATTGTTGCGTGTTCCGGTTTTTCGTGAATTCTGACGTGGGTTTACGTTTTTATGATGCAGGAATTGAACGTTGTTAGCTGAGAAGGGTTGACCATGCTTATTTTTTTTAATCTCTTTTCATTTAACTCAACGCCAAGTTTAATTACAAATCTTTAAATAATTCATGTATCTTTTTTTGTCGTGAATATGTTTGTAATATGTGCATGCTTGTTTGATCTTGCCTTTTAAGAGTAAGGTAAGTTTTGGATCCGAATTGATGGGAAGGTAAATTAATGAACTTCACGTTGTCATGGGCTGTGTGTGCGCAAACGTGTGTGTATGTGTGTGTACTCCTGGAAAAAAAAAAAAAAAATAAACTGTTTTATTATCTAACACAATCATTTGGCATATGTTTTGGTAGAATTTGTGATCAGCAATATTCAGTAATCAAATCAAGATGACGACATCAACAAGTGTGTTTCAAATCACACCATTCGAGAACTGTGATGAATGCATAAGCAAGGTCAGAAGGGCAGTTCGTCAAATTGGTGGTCTCAAATTGATTGGAATGGACCCCGAGAAAGGTATACTCATCATCTCATCAAAGCGCCATGAACCTGAAACAATCAGGGCTGCACTTGAGCCAAATTTTCAAAATAAATCTATTATTTTGTTACAAAATAAGCATTCGTCTGGAGTGAATGTGAATCGTGATGAAGCTGGGCGTAGTACTGTTGATTTTAGAGATATGACGGGAATGTTGATGACGTTACCTGAAGCTGGAAGAGTGCGAAGAGTGGAGTGCAGACAAGATGTTTTGAGGGTCGACTACTATGAGAAACCATCGATGATCTCCAACGTTGCAGCAGCAGACGTTTCGGATTTTGTACAAGTGTCAGTGCCACCAACGTCTACCAAGCCATCGGCTCCACCGATCTCTACGCCGTATAATGGGTATCCTGTCAATGGGTGGCCCTATGCTGATCACTATACCACTCCTCAGAAAGATGATTATCCAGATTGCGCTTGCACCATCATGTGATCAATGACCAGCTGATCATTCAGTTTTGTATGTCTTCTTGTATTTTGATTGATCTTGGACTCAATTTAATTTTCTTCAAGTTTTGCTGTTTCATTGTATCTTTGTACGTCGTTGTAGGGTACTGTGTGTGTGTGAAACTTGTGAGCCATTTTGGGGATGTTAGGCCACTTAAGTCTTAACCCCCAGGGAACCAATAAATCTTATCTTTTGGTACACTATTTCTATATTGATTTCTAATTTCCATTCAAATAACTACTATTTCTATACACTCTTTCATGCCATATAATGACATTCACCACACCCCCTCAGCACTACAAAAAATATGTCACCACACCCACTCAACATTTGTCATTTAGTGCGTACAAAAATGTCACTAAAAACTCAAAAAAATGACACTAAAGGCTTCTTAGATATTGTGCGGACACATAATAACTGACACTAGAAACGCTCCCACTAAAACCCTCTACTTTTTGTTTTTGCCGCTGCAAATTTTTAGGCTTTCGTGACACTTTATTATTTGTCACGAGAAAAGAAAACTTTTTCTTCGCACATATTTTGTGCCACTAATGCTCATTTGATTGAAGAGTTTATGCTATTTTTAATTACATGTTTTAAAATTTTAGTGGTATTTTTTATTCGTCATAATACAAAAAATTATTGTGGCACATTTTGAGCGTGTAAATACACATAAGATTCAAAAACATTTCAAAAATAAATAAACCGTTATAATTGTGATTTGTGAGGTTTAATTTCAAAATTTTGAAGGCAAGTGAAAGTGGGTATAAACGAGCCTCCACACGAAACAAAAATGAATTAATCAATAGAGACCCAACATTCTTAACTCTGTAACATGGTTGTAACATGGTTGGGTCAAGTTCAGTAAGACCCTTATTTACTTCTCTGTCTTCTACAATGTACTCCTATTATACCAACTTTCGTCAATAAAAAGTCAACAAATTCAATACATACAAAAAATCAATCATAATTAATAATATATAACAATTTTGAGTTCTTGCTTGGCAAGAATGTGATAGTGGCTTTCATTGATTCGTTGTCCACATATTCTAGCTATAAAGAAACCATACTACAATCCCACCAAAACAATTGCTAACACTGTAATTATAGAATTTGAAACTAAATAATCAATATAAAGCCTAAATATTAATTTTCCCAAAATATAAAACAAACAAAGAGATAGATTTGAAGTTATCAGCCATTGTATAAAACCCATATGGGTGCACTTCATATCCAAACATGTCTTTGAGTTCATCTCCATAAAATTTGTTCACCAACACACCTAAAAATGCCACAATTTGCTCAAAGTGTCCAAACAAAATTGTTATATTATCATCGCAAATGATCAAGAAAATAAAATTTAACAATATAGTAGATAAAATAAATGAGTTGCATAATGCATACCAGTTGAAAAATAACCAAAATGAAGACTTTTAAATGTAGTATAAATACTATTCTACATTCTGTGCAATGAGAGAAAGCAAACCCTTCTTGCAACAATTGTAGATACACATCAACAATTATACATCAATAGAATCAAGTTATTGATATAAAATATTTTAGAACTTACCCTGGTTAACCTCCAATTGTCTAGACATGACATGTGGACATATTTATGAGTGTTTCTTCAATAACACGGTGCAATCAAATATTCTCCTGTGAATTAGTTAAAGAGGATATGAATCTTCTTAATCACATGAATTACATCCATAAAATTGTTTACAACACAACTCGAAAGCTTAATGAAGAAGACAAAGTTACAGACCTTCTGTATCAAGGCATATCGGTACTATGGTTGGTCTGAAGTAACCATATTAGTAGTTCATTGGCATCAGAACTTTCTGAATCTTCAACAACTATAGAACAATCATTGGTACCTTCAGTTCTTATTTCAAATGTAGATGAATGGTTGTCAACTCCCTCATCACTTCTAGATTCATTTAAGATGGTTTCGGTTTTTTGAAGAGCCTTCTCTGAGATTGTCATTTGACATTAATTGCATCTTGAGAAACTTGGAATTAAGGAGAGAAGATGTGATCATGTCTTCACTTTTCTTGTCTCTCACGAGTTTTCCTTCACCTCGTTACCCTGCTTCTTTTGTTTTTCATGATCATATCTTCACTTTTCTTCTCTCATGTTTTTCCTAATGTAACAAAACCAAGTTACTTTGATATCTAATAACACAAATCTTGATTACTTATAATTAAAAATAAGGATTTGAAACTTCAATCAAAAATATTTACCTCCAACGCATTCCAAATTGTCTCACCAATTTGATTAAGGGGATAAGATGTGACTCTATCCAAACCCCCTACATCTCTAATCTTGGAGCACCCTCCATTTTTCTTCGAATACTCAAACTGAATACCATTGAAGTACAACGAATTTCAAAACAACATTATATCTTACTTACTACTATATGAAGGATTTATACTAATTGATACTATGGTATACCTTAATCAAAAAATAATGAAACTACAGAAAGCTAATAAGAAATGCAAACATTGATGTTCACCTGGTCACTTGTTGTGAAACTAACTTCTTCTAGCTTCACACTGCTATGAGCATTTGATTGTTTAGGGCTTTCATTATCAAAAATGGATTTAGCTTTCCATACTATAACGCCCCAAAGGCCTCATTTTTCATTTGTGCTCTTCATTGAAGTATAATCATATGTAGCAGAACCTTTGTTTTCCATGAATCCTGACTGAAATCCTAATGTTCAAGGCAAATAAAGCTAGAAATGAGGAAAGGGTTAATATCAAATACAAACACACAATTCTGACATTTATGTAGTTAACACACGGAGGAAAATTTATATATATATATATATATATATATATATATATATATATATATATATATATATATATATATATATATATATATATATATATATATATATACATATATGCATGTATGAATGAATTTTGTTAAATAGAATAGAACAGAAAGCCTTAAAATTTAGCATGAGAACAAACTAAAAGTACAAGTAATTGAAAAAATTAGTTCCATTTTTGAAAGAGGCATGAAAGCTACCAAAGAATTGAGAAAAGTAGAGACGATGGTCGGAAGCTCTATTTGGTTGAGGGTCGAAAGGTGACAAAGGAGCGGGCTGCAGCAGATGATGTGGTGGTATCCTCTTGGTCTTGCGGGCGGAGAACCCCTTCATTAAACGTGGAGGACCAAGAAAGTCCTTACCATCTATGATTATATAAATATATGTATACAAATACAAATATAGAGTTCGGAGGCAACGAGAGAGAAATAATGGAGACGTAGTAGCGCATCAGAATGACCTAGTAGTACCACCGTCGGCCACCAGAACGGCAATCCACCGATTGGCGGAGAATGAAATGCTTTCAGATCATGAAAAACATCGTAGAATGAGCAACTCATTTGCCAAGTGTGTGTTTATTCTTTTCAGTTCAGTTGATTGACCAACGTTTGTTTAAATTGGGGAAATCTGTGATGGATAGGGTTAATGATGGTTGTGGCAAAGGTGAAGATGTCATTTTTGATGATGGAGAAGGCGGTACGAAGCATAGAAGAGTGTGAAATGTTGGAGATCGATGAGTTTTTGAGAGAGAGTTTTTGTAACTTGAAAGCTAGGTTATGTTTATAACAAAGGATTTTAATTAAGCATATTCAGGACACACTCTATAAAGCAAGAATCGATGTCTAAGAAAAGGGGGGAAGATGGAAGATATGAGAGTGAGATGTTTTTTTCTTTTATGGCATATGTGAAGTGCCATTATAAACCTATATCAGTGGCACAAAAACTAAGTGTCACTCAAAATATGTGCCACTAAATTGCCTTTTTGTAGTAGAAACTCCGGCATACATACTCATTCACACATTTAAATGTTTAAAAGGGATCATATCATAATCGAAGGAACGCCTTTCTAAACAAGAAAGATATTGATACAACAAGTTTTCTCCAAAGTAATTAAAGAAGCACACAACCATATAGAAAGAGACCAAGACACTGGAAATCTATATTGTTTACTCATCTTTGAACCATACTTGTTAAGTCTAAGTAAACTGCCTACCATCAATTTGAACATCTATAAGGTCCATATCTATAACAAATTTGTTACAAACTTAATCCCTACCTAAAAAAGGACTAAACCAAATCTCTCTGATCCTATGTGAACATCATTACAACTACCAAAAAATAACATACGCCCTAACCCATGATGAATATCATATAGGAGATAACTCCACATTTTCACCAAAAATAACATACTCATGATCCCTAACCAACTATCAATATCATATAATATCATATAAGTGTTAACTCTACAACCTCTTCTTTTTAATAATATATGGTGGAGCATAAGTATTAATAAAGGTAATTGTGGGTCTTTATAGCCACCCAAATTCCCTCTGCAAATCGACACAAAATACTAGTTACACATAATCCTTTCCTTGGAAAAAAAATTGAAGGATACAAAATGCTTTTTTTTTTTGGAACGGCGATGGAAATAACATTAGCAAACATAAAAAATAAATAAAAAATAAATAAAAAAAAAAACTTAAGAGAGGAGCTCAAGCCATTACAAGAAACCATTTAAGATGGGAGAATTGCACCAACTATGCTAATCAATCAAATTCAAATTACACAAAAGCTTAATCTAATTAAAAGTGAAAATACTAATGTCATCCCCAATAAGCATAATCGTTTGCCTAGTGTTTCAAAAAAACAATAGCATTTCGCTCCTTCCATATCATCCATATAGTGTTATACACAAGAGAAAACCTCAACTTTTTCATATTTTGTTGCCATCACTCGCATTGAGCATCTCCTTCAGATCATCAATAGAAGAAGGTGAATGATAAAAGACCTGATGACTATTTTACCAGCCATATAAATACCTCTATAGCAACAAAAAATGAGAAAAAAATGTGATTTATATTCTCTTCTCACACCTTACATAAAGGAAAAAGACCTAAAGTAACCGCAATCCCTCTTTTGAGCAAGTTTGAATAGATAGGAATCCTATTTTTCAGCATCCACCAGACGAATCAATTCATCTTAGGGGAATCCAACTAACCTATGTAAACATGTTACCATTCCCTCTATCCCCGATCAACGATCAAATGCTTAAGGTCTCTAACTGAGAATGTGCATTCCCCATTGTCATTCCACAATCATTTTTCCAAGCCATTCGAAATTGAAAATCAACCACATACTCCATTAAACACGAAAGTTGTTGAATTTCTCTCCCTCTTCTAAGCTGTCTACACCAGACCCAACTCCACCTGTTACTAAAATCTACCCCAATGTTAATATGAAATATAATTAAACAATTTTTGTTTGTCTCCAAGGCATATAAATTCAGACATAGCTCCTTCAAGACTACATCACCACACCAAGCATCTTTCCAAAAATGAGTTTTGTCACCCATACCAACCACCCTATTAAACAAGTTGAGCTACAAAATCCCCTTATCACCCAACTCCAAATCAATTTGAGATTGTAACACCCCGAATTTTTTCAAACTTCAAAATGTTATGGTTTAAACAAAATCATTATGGGTATTAACCCTCATTTAATAAAAAAACGGTCGCACAAAAACATCTACAATTAAAAGTTCGGTGTTACCATTAAGCATCATAAAAACCATAGAAAGCAAATAAGAATTGCATCCATACAATAATTAAGGAGCTTAACAAGTTCAACTCTATTTTCTATGTAGCAGCCAGTGTTTCAGGCAGTTCATTGTTTCCAGGCAGACCAGTGATTCAGATAGTTTTGGGTCTCAAGCAGTATTGGTAGTGTGGGATTGTGTCTACGGGACTTCAGCAATGTGAGGTGAGTTTCCTTTCAGTAGGAACAGGTCTAAGGCCACAATGCCAGCCCGTTTAGTAGCAGTAGTTTCCGGACTTTGGTCCGATGCAGTTCTTAGTTTGTTTGATGCCTTCGTGGCTCAGACAAGAACTTATGTGTTAAGTGTTATGGGATATGGCCTGACGTAGTATGCAGTATATGAGTTTATGATCATTTGTGTTATGCTATTTGATATGTGTTTTTGCTATGTTATGCTATGCCCAGTCAGTTTCGGACTTCGGTCCGATGCAGTTAATTTCGGACTTCGGTCCGATGCAGTTAGTTCCGGACTTCGGTCCGATGCAAGGGACAAGGTCCCAGTCAGTTCCGAACTTCAGTCCGATGCTGTTAGTTCTGGACTTCGGTCCGATGCAGGGGACAAGGTTTCAGTCAGTTCCGGACTTCGGTCCGATGCAGTTAGTTCCGGACTTCGGTCCGATGCAGGGGACAAGGTCCCAATCAGTTCCGGACTTCGGTCCGATGCAGTTTCCGGGCTTCGGCCCGATGGAGTGGGCAAGGCCCAATATGTGTTTATATGTTATTGTTGTTGGAATAGTGTCTAAGGCTGTAACTATATTCGGTTGTGCATGGTCCTTTTGGGTTGCCTTCACCATAGTAACTTGAAGGATGATTTGTATAAGAGAGAGTAAATATTATAAGGAATAATATTTGGCTATTTGATTAATATAAGTCATAAATTAATTGGTATTAATTTGGTGACTTAAAGAGATTAATTAAATAAGAGGGTATAAACTGTCAATTGTTTGATAGTTAGACTTTAGACTGTAAATCCATTAGGGTTGACCTTGGACGGATTCTAGGAGCTTTAGGATAGCTCAAATCGTCCATATGGTTATCTATGGAATGGATTTGGATAGCCTTAAGAGAAGATTATCCAATTAGGGTTTAGGGTGAAACCCTTAAGGAGTCTACAAGTATAAATAGACCCTATGGGTGAGGGAATTCGACACACAACCTTAAGCAAGGATACTCTGGCCGAATTCCTCCCCTCTCCTCTCTCCTAAATCATCTTGCTTGCTATTGGTGTTTGTAAGCCATTAGAGGAGTGACATTTGTGACTCTAGAAGCTCCAAGACAAACAAGATCAACAAGGGATTCAAAGGTATGATTCTAGATCTGTTTCATCATTGTTATTTAGCCTAATTAGCTATTAGAAGTCTTGGATTCAAAAGCATGTTTATTAGAAAGCCTAGATCCAAGCATTAGGGTTTTGCATGCGCACATAAGAAAGTTCTTATGGCTAAAACCCAACAGTGGTATCAGAGCCTAGATTGGTTTTCTACAAATTGTTGCTTGAATAACTGAAACAAACCTGCAAAATTCGAATTTTTGGGTTTTGAGTCACTGACTCGGCGAGTCCCTTTGTGCACTCGGCGAGTCCAAGCGTCAGGAAGGGCCAAATTCGGGATTTCTTTGTGTTTATCTTATCCAAACTTTCCATAAACTAATTAGATCAATATGAATCCGATTTCTTGATAAATATAAGTGTTATCTTGATCTAGTTAAAGGTAATTATCAACTAATTAAATATTTAGTTTCCTTATATGATAATTAATTAATTATTTTGATTATTTTTGGTAATTATCTTCAAAGAAATCAAAGATAAATCAAATAAAGATAATTAAGATATTAATTGTTAATTGAAATTATTTGTTATTTGATCCTCCATGTTTTAAATGTTTAAAACCTACCCTATAGTTTTGAAATTTATATTTGTGATTAAAAGTTCTAATTTAGACAACTTAAATTTCAAACCCTAGATTTTGAAAAGTTTAAAATGCAACCCTATAGTAATATGATATTAATAGTATAATATATATATGTATAACTAAATGCTAGTCTTACCGCTAGTAGGCCTCATTCACGAAGCCGATCTATAAGGTGGGTATAAGGTTGCGGCCTATAAAATGGCGCTTAATGGGTGTACACTCACACCCACCGCTTGCTTGATTGGTGGAGGGTCGTTAGCCGAACGGGTAGGATAGGGCAACCTCATCCTCTCATTAAAAGTATAATAAATACGAAGTAACTAAACTTTCTTTTTAAATTTCCCAATCTTAGTTACTTTAGGAAAAGTGAATTGTTGCAATCCCATGAAATTACACTTTGCACCTTGCTAAGATGTTAGTGGAGCGTGTGTGGTTTACCGGCACACTAATTGGTTCTAAGCGAAGGTGGCAAAGGGTGATTCATTGTTTATCATAGTTCGATGGAGCGTGTGTGGTTTACCGGCACATCGAATAGGTGATCGTAACAATGAAGGCACCATGTAAATTTGCATGGTAATTCACACCCGCTTTGTGATCCTCGGCATCCCAGTCACAAACAAGAGGGGCATATCGAGATTTAAACATGCCATTGAATAGTTCAATGAATCTCATCCGAACCTAGGAATTCTCAAAACACTTAGGACTAAAAGTTTAAGTTTTGTAATGGAGAATTAGTGAATCGTCATTCACTTACCTTCAATTTATTTGCATGTTGGATTACGGCATCCCTTTTCTAGTATGTAAATGTCATTGTTGGATCCTAGCCCTAATTTTCT